TAGGACCTAGTGGAAGGAAGTGAGGTCATTGGGAGGGGCTAGGACCTAGTGCAAGAAAGTGAAGTCACTGGGGGTGGGGCTTAGTGGGAGGAAGTGAGGTCACTGGGGTGTGGCCTAAGCAGGTATATTAGGACCCCAGGCAGTTCCCTTCTCTTGGATTCCCGACCCCATGATGTGAGGGGCTTTTCCTCCAACCATACCCATGTGCCATGATGTTCCTCCTACCACAGGCCTAAAAGCAATGGACCCAGCTAACCCCAGACTAAAGCTGCTGGGACCAGGAGCCAGCATAAACCTTCTCTTCTTTGTTTTTTTGATACAGGGTCTTGCTACGCAGTCCAGGTGGCCTTGAATTCACTATGTGGCCCTGGCTGGCCTTGAAGTGAGAGGGTGCTTCCTGCCTCAGCCTCCCGAGTGCTGGGGTGAAAGGTGTGGGCCACCACGCCTGGCTGTTTCCTTCTTTACAAAAAGAAAAACTGGAAGGGGGAGGGCAAGGGACAGGTCCCAACAGACTCACCCGTGAGCTGTTCCAAGTTCCCTCTGCCGAAGATGAGCTTGCTGTCGGGCGTCTTGGTGGGCAGGAGCACCGTCTGCACCACGGCCCAGCCGTCCAGTGTGTGCACCAGTGCGGTTGCCTCCGCCACCTGCCACTCGGCTGCGGGCACAGGTGAGGCTGATTCAGGGATGCTGCCCTTGGGGGGCAGTATGGGACCCTATGCACACTGCCCACGGCACGCGCACCCCACCGTGCACCCCAGGGCCTCCTCCTGGGCTGGAACCCAACGCTCCCGAAGGCCGCCGGAGCCTTTTTATCCCAGGCCGCCTCGGGCAGGTCTCAGTACAGAACCGACGGGGAGTCAAGTGGGGATGCGGGGGGGCCCTGACTCCTGGGAGATCTGCGTGCAGTGGGATGGCTGGACATTGGACGCCTTAGTGAGGAGGAGGCAGAAGCAGAGGCAGGAGGGTCTCCCCGGGAGCCTGGAGACAATGGCAATGATTGTGGTGGCCCCTCTGAGCCCTCTCTGGGGAACAGGAAACGTGACCGTGGCATTAGCTGCTGCATCATCTGCAGGAGGCAAGAGGGATAAGCCGGAAGCAGCGATGGATGAATAACAGATAGTTCCAACGCAGGGTGGGATATTACACAGCCCCCAAAAGGAAGCAGGCCCTAACAGCTGCCACAACCTGGGCGGACCCAGAGGGCACGTGCTCAGCAAGAGACGCCAGACACAGAGTGTGACGCTGCACAGCTGTGAGAAGTGCAGAGCGGGCCAATCCGGGGGCAGGAAGCAGAACACGCAAATCCACAGACAGGAAGTGGTGGTGGCTGTCGCGGCTGGGACCGGGACCGTTCTGAGGGTGCTCGGGGGTGGAGGGTGGGCAGATCCGGGAGGAGGGTGCATGGCATCTCCCGGCCTCAACAGCCTGCCCCCCCGCAGGGCCGCTGGGACAGGCCTGGGGACCCGCCCTGGGCTCCGCGCCTACACTGTCCCCGTCTTCTGTGCGCTTCCTGCCTCCCGCCTGAGCCCCTTCCTTCCACAGACCCCAAACTCCACGCCAGCGGCTCCTTGCTGAGTGCAGCAGTGCACAACCTGGGCAACCGCACAGCGGCTCAGCGCTTCACCACAGGCAGCCCTTAGGCCCCGCCCCTTCTCAGTTACGCCCCACCCCCGCTGGGCCCTAGGCCCCGCCCCTCCCTAGGGGAGCCAACCCCCGGGCCCCGCCCCCTTCAGCCAGCCCCTCGCTGGGGGCCCCGCCCCTCCCAAATCCCCGCCCTAATCTCCGTTATTTACCTTTACCCCGCCCCTCCTCGGCACTGACCAATAGGATGCCCGTCCATTGCTCTGAAACCCACCGTCCCAGGCCTCGCCCCTCCCTAGGGGAATCCAACGCCGGGCCCCGCCCCTAACACCTCAGCCCTATGAGCGCTTTCCTCGAGTCCCCGCCCCTCCCGAATCCCCGCCCAAGTCTCCGTCATTTACCTTTACCCCGCCCCTCCTCGGCCCTGACCAACGGGGTGCCCGCCCATTGATCTAAGCCCCACCCCCCAGGCCCCGCCCCCCGTGTCTCCTTCCGCTCCTTGCGATCGGCCGTCCTCGGTCCACCCGAGCTACGCCCCGACCAATAGCGTGCGGCCCCTGGCGCGCTCTTCCGCGTCCCGCCCTCACGCGGCGCCGGCCTTCCCCAGCCCCGACTAATGGAGTACAGGCGCACTGCG